TAATATCCATATATTTAAGGAAATATTTGTTACATGTTTTAAATATGTAAAAGAATGTTAAAGGCGTACCTTCTGAACCTTCATCATTGTCTTCATTGTCAATATGAATTTCATCCATGGCGACCCTATATCTTGGTATTTTAGGATGTCATCTAGACTCACCATTGGGGAAGAATAAAGGATACAACAAAGGATCATAACAACCAAAGTGAGGTTGAATTTCAGTACTATAGTTAGACCTCCCATTGACAATAATACTTCTTTTATATGCAGTGATGTTGTCATTTCTTCAACCCAAATACCAGCAACCTATTCAAAGGTGTAGTTCAATAGGGTGATTAATATGATATGTATAATAATAAATATGACACGTTTAATTTTAAAATGAATAAAGATAAATGTTAATATTCACACCTGAGATGTGGTCGGCTTATTGTACACCCTTTGGTCAAGTTCCACTGATGCATTCAAAGTCACTCTATAATTATCAAGCGATCCTAGATAAAAAAAAGACGTTTAAATGTTGTGACGTACGGATTTGAAGCAAGAATACGTGTTAGTTTTTGAATGATTCTTCTATCAACATTCTTCCAAGAGGATCTCTGTGATATTTCAGCTTCACCATCATAAAAATACAACTGTAAATACCTTGATTTTCCATCCCTTGAAATTAACTGATTGATATTATGATAGAGTGTTCCGTGCGCACAAAAAGTGTAAATTCCAGAAGTCATATTGGCCAACTCTTCATCCACCTTTACACCCATTGCTGCGAACGAAAAGTTTGAGTTATACGCCCTTATATTGTACCTGAAGCTTTCTTCTAGCCGCTCTTGCCTTGTGAAGAGTTGGTGCAATTTTGTGGGAATAGTGGAGTATGCCAATTTTGTCTTCCTACTCATGCAACAAAAGGTAGGGAATTCATATTGTAGTCGTTTTGCTCCACAATAAACATAAGGGTTTTGAGCCTTTAATATATGATATTCCATACAATTTTTCGTAAACAAAATCATATGGATCCTCCTGAAAGGCGTAAACTCTTCTTTTTGTCATCATAGTTCGTTCCTTACTTCGTTGATAATATTCTTTATTATAAGTACTCGTCATTTGAGCTGCACTTATAACACTCACAAAGGAATCTTCGTTGATATTTTTTTCATTTGTCTCCATTGTAGTGCAACTTGTGAGTGTTGTAGGTTGACTACATCTTTCACCGTTAGTTATCCTTCGCATTTTGTTTTTCTCCTTTTTTCGTGCATAATAGTTTCTATTGTATCTTTTTCGATTTTCTACAAATATGTTATTTTGATAAATAATCATATATTATAAATGCAAATATATATATATATATTCATATAAACGACATACATTTTTCTGTATCTATCGGGTTTTGAGAATCATCACAGTTTTTGTTTCCCTTATCTACGGTCCTCATTGCACACTATAATGGAAATGTTAAGAATAAGCACATATTATATTATCAAGAATGTAACATTTTGTAATGTATATCATGTGATTTAGTAGTCATGTATGTGTGTGTTTCACACGAATAAAAATGCAATAAATAATATACTCTAAAAAATACAAAAAACAATTGTACGATACCAAAAGCTTAAAGCATTGCGTGATGTGATGGGATGAACGTTAACAATTTTAAAAGTACAAACTTTTCATTTATCCGATTTGAACATTACCAACTGTATACATGCTCATTAATTCAACAAAAGATTCTCAAATGAAACTAATTTGCTGATAGAAAAATCATCAAAAATTATTTTAACATTAAGTTTTTTAGTTTTTCAGAAAGCAACACAACCCTTAATAAATAACGAACTATACTAAAAACTTGTAATCCAAAAACACAATAGAAGAAACTAATACATAGTTAGAAGAAAATTTCCATAGATATCCAAAAATTATTATATATCAATTAATAAGCCAACACAAGAAAAATAAACCACATATGAAAAAATTCACCACAATATGTCTAACATTAATATAGATCAACTATACAACATTAATATAGATCAACTATAAAAGCAACGTACTGGTAAAAGTGGTCAAAACTTCAAAAAAACACCACCACCAAATGTCTCACACATAATTAAAAATTATTCTAGGCATATTTATGATGTTAAATGTTTTCGGCATCCTCGGTTGGAACTCTACGTTGCTTAATTTGGTTGATATCAAAATACTCACTGAAAATAAGATAAAAACTATTAAAACGTATTGATTTAGTTATTTTAATATCACTACAAGTATTATATTTTTCTAGAAAAAACTTACTTGAATCTAAATGAACCAATTTCACCCGAGAAACAAATATTATATACTTTCTTTTTATCACATAGACAGTCTTCACAATCTGATGGCGTGTTCGGTCGGTTATATATAGCTTCATTTTTATTATACTTCCCCTATTTATAATCAAACCTTCCCAAAGTCATCTAATTTTGTTTTAGTGTAACAACAACAACAATAATAATAATAATAATAATAATAATAATAATAATAATAATAATAAACACTTACGGCCCATCTTGAAGATATAAAGTGAACAAAGTTAACGTCAGTAAACCAAAGTAACGGGAATAGTTTCGCTTGCATTTGATTATTTTTCCAACAATATCTAAAAATAACGATAATTAAAAGGATGTTTTATTATTTTAAAAACTTTAGAATGCTAAAAATATATATATAAGTTGTTAAATTTACCGATCATCATTTTTCTCTTTGTCCGATCTTCTACTAAACTTTTTATCGAGGAACCAATGGAAAAACCGGAAACCATGATATGATAGCATCGGTCAAACAATTAAATCGTGTGTTATTGTTGATCGTAATCATCAAATCACCACGTAATAAATTGTATTGTTGATACCTTAGATACTCAGCATAGGTTGGTTCGATTTGGAAATTGTTTAAAGAGAACACATCACCCAATAAATCCTCTCCATAAATAAAACGCATTATTTGTTGTGGAACAACTGCTACCAATTTTTCTCTCTAATAGAAAATGTAATATTTTTATAAACAGAATACTTAAAATAATTTTTGAAAATGAAAATAAGATATAAATAGTTTTTAGACATACATTTTATTTTGATCAATGAGAAGAATGAAGAATTTCTTTGCTCTCGTGTCTCGCCAAATGAAATCCACACGAATGGGTGTCAAAATATACCACAAATGGAAGTTTAGTAGCAATGAAAATGCATCAACGTAAATGTGGCCGTTCATGATTCTAAAAAATAAAAAATAAATAAAAATAAAAAAATTGAATTAGTATAGAAAAATTTTATGTACGAAAATATACCATCCATGTTTTGTGAATTGTTCTTCGTATCTCAAGTCTTAACTTGTCTGTGTTTGAACTAATGATAGCAGCCAACCACATGTTTAAACAGGGGATATCTGATAAAAGGGCATCTTTGACTTTTTATTAAGAGGAAATTTAGGAAAATGGTATTTTCTTCCTTTTATTATGAAAGAATATTATGTGTTTATTTTGAACTTCATATAACTATATAACTGTTTTAAGACTTTCGTGAATGATTGTTAGAGGATGAATTATCGGTGCAGGTTCAGATGAGTTTTTGTTCTTTAAAAGTACTGGTATGTAGTAATTAAATGAATTAGACGATTTATATAGAATCTTTATACATTAAAAAAGTGGGCCTAAACTTAAGGTATTGCACATTTTAAATATTCCTCTTTCCAAATTGTTATACTTAATAACTTTCTTTACACCATTATAATTTATATTGCTATTTTTTTTTTATCAAGTTTAAGGTCTAAATTTTCACATTTTTGTATTTTGACATATGGGTTGAGTTGAAACATTATAATATTTTCATTAAGGTTTATATATCTTATTATAAACTCAAAATTCCCTTCTTTTTCAAAAATAACTTTCCAAATCAGTAACACATCACAAAATACAGTTTATTATAATTGAATTGTATGTTGCTATTATGGTATTAAAAGGAAAATATGATGTTATATGTCATAGAAAACACAATTATGATTATATTATGGGATAGAAATGAAAGTTTGATGCTATTTGTGATAATAAAAAAAACACATTTAACATGCAAAGATGAATTAAAAATATTAGATCTGGACAACAATGGTAAACCTAGCAATATGAAATATAAGGTTATAATCAAAGAAGTCCCAAAATTAATAGTCATTCCAAAATTAATCAAGTTAAGATCTTACCATCAATACTAACATTGACAAATATACTTGAAATTTTAAAAATAAATGTAATAACTAACAAAATCCATACAAAAAATATTTAAAATCATACAAAACTTAACAAATATACTCAAAATTTTAAAAATGAATATAATAATTGTCAAAATCCCTACCAAAAATATTTAAAATCATACAAAACTTAACAAATATACTCAAATTTAAAAATGAATATAATAATTATCGATTTTATTTTTGGAAATATATTGTATTTTAAAGACCATGCAACCGATCGATTTTATATAAACGTAACTTTTTTCTAGATGCAAAAAATAGCAATATAATTTATTTATTTATTTACTACAAAATCATGTTCTTTTTATTCTCTACGGTATTGTAGCTTAAAAAAAATTTCTTATTAAAAACGATATACTACGAAAGGTTCTCTTATCGCTCATTTCAGATAAGGGTGTTCAAAACCATACTTTCGAAATTTTGGATATTCAAAAAATTATGATAATGGACATTGATATCCGAATTTGTATTCGAATTTTTGGATATCCAAAATTTCGGTTGTAGATAGATATGAATTAGTATATCTGGATTTTTTTTTCTATCGCTCCGATTAATCATTTTATAAAAATAAGTAACATATACCAATAACATGAAAAATATCATTTTAGTCGTCAAAATGGTCACGTTTGTTGTCAAAAAGTCTTTTTCCAATGAAAATGGTCACTTCTTACTATCAAAAATATGATCTAGTTAAAATACTCATTTTTACGGTATAATCTCTATAACTAATTAGTTAAAACTTTGTTACTCTTTAGTTGAATCCCACTAACATGTTCATCTTGCATTGCACCAGCATATTCTTGCATCACTTCCCTGTGCATTAAAAATGTCAAACAATATGAGTAACCCTTCCATGAGTCAAACCCAATGGAATCTAAAAAAAAAAAAAAAAAAAAAAAAAAAAAAAAAAAACTATATTATGTTCATATGGTTGGTATTAACAAATTCATCTCTACAATCCTCTATACTCATTTTGTTATATTTAACCACAAATGTTAAATTTCAAAATGGTATCATAATTAATCAAATATAAAGGTAACATATGGGGCCAAATGATCTTGAATCAAAGCTAGAAGCTGAGTTGTCACCTTCTACCCAACAATGTCCTTCCAGAACCTTCACAACACCACCAACATTACTGATATAATCACCTTCCATTGCTACTATTCTTTTCACACATATCTCATTGTAATTAGTTGGATCACTACAAAATAATCCAAAACTATATCCCAATTATCATCTATCATATTCATATATTGTTATTTTCAAATCAGAAAAGAAAAACTATGACTATGATCGATGTCATTGGATGTGGAAAAGACATGAATGCCCTCCTAATACAAGAAAATTACAACATACCTGAAAATTACTACATCACGATGTGCGAACTTATATTTGTCAAGGCAAAATTTCTCTAAGAAAACATAATCATCTGCATATGACATTAATCATTAATGTGGGATAGATATATAACACCAAGATGCTAACAATCATTAATGTGGGAAAAATTAATAATATGGGATAGACTTTTTGGTGTATGAATTATGGAAGTAGCTACCTGTAAATGATCCAACTGAAGGATTATAAGCATACACATCAGCATTTCCATAAAGACAACTTCAGTTTTGTCTAGTAATCCAGATGTACAATAGGCTCTTACTAATCGATTCACACATATGTAATGAGAGTAGATGTTGACAAATGATCAAACCAATATGTCATAAATATAATACAAAGACAACAAAATGGTTCTTACTAATATGATTGGATCATATCTTTTATTGAGATGAAATTGAACAACAACACTGATGATATCTACCATGTAGTTTGAGTGGGAAGAAGATTACTAAGAGCACCCCATACCTTGTTCATATCAGTTTCCTTTTTCATGAAGTTTAAAATATGTTGTGCATCAGATGAATAACTTCACCAAATGAACCTGCATGATTAACATCACTTTTAGTAAAACTAACTATGCATCTTTATATGTGAGGATCTCAATTACTGCCAAATAATTTCACCATATTTAATGTCTACAAAAAGACAAATGGTGATAGTGGGTACTATAGTAATGAATAAGGATTCAAGATGAGTGTTCTTACAACTCTTGTAATCTTCTCAAATTTCCAAGTTCAGATGGCAGGGAACCAGTGAAACTATTTGTGCTCAAACTCCTACAACATAGAAAATATATACAGATTGTAAAATTATAAACAACAAAGAATTAAACAGAAAAACTTATTGCTTGATGGCAAAAACACAAACAAAATAAGAAGAGACATACAATGATCTAAGATCAATAAGTTGTCCTAGCTCTCGTGGAACCTGTCCTGATAACGCATTTATGCCAAAACTCCTATAAAAAAGTTGAGATTATCATCATATATCTGAAATCTCAGATGTATTCTTAAATATATAGAGGTTTGAATTATTAATTAAGTTTAAAGTATCAAAAAGGGGTGGCTTACATGATCTGTATTCGAGTTAAATTGCCAATGGAAGGTCACAAGGGACTTGTCAAATAGTTATGGGTCAACTAACTGTAGCAAACACTTGATTATTTAACATAATACACACATAAATATTCATAAAATGGATATATATTTTTATGTTTTAACTTTCAATAATAGTTGACAGTACATTGAAGAAACAACCGCATACATACAAATTTGTAAGGTAAGTCAAAGTCTAGAATCCTTCTGGGACTGGACCCACAACATCCATTCCAATAACCTTTCTGATGATTTGAAGGGTGGGAATTGGGGAAATTACAGTCGCATTTGATGCCAAGATTGTAACCGAAGGCATTTTCCAGCGCTGCCAACCACAGAGCATCCATGTAACTTATCGAGTTGACCAGAAAGCGGTCCAACAACCTCAGATGATGCAGATACACATACACAAAGTTTCAATAAGAACAACACCTCAAATTTCACAGAGAAAATCAAAAAAAGAAATTATTTTTAAAATTTTGAAAAACGAACAACGTAATTGAGCCATAACTCAAAATTTGGGGATTGAGAAAAAATTTATGCATAGTAAAGACTCAAAAGTATCCGAAAAAAAAAATCAAGAATCGGCTTATAATTACCTTCAAGTAACCGAGAGTTTTATTGAGAAACCGGGCTCTGCGAAAGGTCGGGCTTCGAAACCGAAAAGATAAATTTTTCGGGCTTCTCGGGCACTTCGTGGAGTATTACGGGGTTTACAATCGATACCGGGGCTTTGTGGGATGTTAAGATGAAGAAAATATGGGTTTAGGGGTTAAAATTGACAAATTTTCAAAGTTACCCGGGAGGTCTCGCACCCTCCTATTTATAGGGGCGAGGCTTCTGATCGGAGGGTCAGAAAGAAGACACGTATCGCAGATACAAGGGTTCGCAGGGGGTGGCTCGCACGAGGAATGCACGTGCGAAGGGCTCGCTGGAGGCTCCTTATTGGACCACGGCTTACTGGGCACATGCGAGGTTCGGAGGTAGGTGGTGCGAGGTTCGGAGCTAGGGTGGTGCGAGGCTCGGTCCGGATGCGAGCTTCAGATTGGGCCTCCCTTTAGTCGAATCAGAAGAGGACACGGGGCGACACGCAGCAGTCTCGCATGCGAGGTGACTCAACAGTTCCGATACGTGGTGCATGCGGAGCGAAGACACGTGGCTAGCCTGTTGCGAGGGTGACGTGGCCGAAGCCACACATGCGAATTTTCTCGGTTTTTGTGAAAAAACTTCTAAAATTCATAACTTTCGCATACGAGCTTCGTTTTTATCGTTCTTTATATGCAAGCATAGCTAAAATTACGCTCTACAACTTCCGTTTAGACTTCGTCGGCTAATTTTGACTTTAAATTTTATATTATTATTTTTAACAGATCGGGACAGGAAATCCGTTAAAAATTCATAACTTCTTCATACGACGTCCATTTTCGTCAGACTTTTTACCGTTACTCTCCTAATGACGAGACCTTCAATTCTCGTTTAGGTTGTGTTGGCTAAAAATCGCTCGATCTAAAATTCGAGTTTTTAGCTGTCTACTGCTACGCTGAAACTTCGAAAAATCATAACTTCCTCATACGAAGTAAGATTTGGGCGTTCTTTTTATCGAACTTCTCGATTTAACGAATACTACAACTTTCGTTTAGATTACTAAGGCTAAAAAGTAATTTATCGAAAACTCACTTTTTACAACATTCAGCATCGTGCCGGTTTTGTCGCGAAACTTCAACAGGTCATAACTTCTTCGTTATAACTCGGATTTTGGTATTCTTTATATCCCCGAAATCCTTGTTTCGACCACTAAAACTTTATGTAAAGATATAGGGCTTATCTCACACTTTAATTTTGATGCTTATTTTTATTCTTAATTAATTAAGCTCTAATAATTAAACATAAAACACATAATTCACAAAATATTCACATAATTCCTTTTCATTTCTTTAAAATGAGTTACAAAGGTTAACCTAGACTATCAACTCAATATAAATGCCTAGGCTAGAAACACGAGTGTTACACCTGAGCTCTTAAGGATTTTTCGATCTTCTTTGGTTTTATGATGGGACGTCTTCGGTGGGGGAGGTCGGCAGTCGTGGACCTTCGGTGGGAGACATTGGTGGAGACACGTGAAGAAGTAAGGATGTTGGTTTCAAACCCATCTAACCCACCAGGGAAATTATTGATCTCGATTCCAGTTTTTATGATCTCGGATTTTCTCTTTTCTTTCCTAATGATCTTCCTTAACTTCCCCGAGAGTCTTGGTTAATCATGGTTGATCTCAGTTTTCTAGGGTTAGGGCTACTTGTGTGTGACGGAAAAGGTGGACTGCATCTTTTGTGGAGATGGATGAGAATTGGTTTGATGGCGACTGTTGTATGTTTTGGAGATTAGGGTAAGGTCCGTGTAGTGTATAACATATATGATCCGTGTAGTGTAATACGTATATGATTGGTTATATGTTTTATATTATTGTACATGAGGTAATACATGTTGTACCTTTTAATTTTCAAGAAAGAGGCAATATGTTTAATAATATAGTATATGTATATATATATATATATATATATATATATATATATATATATATATATATATATATACAGTGAGGACTCATTTTAAAGTGAAAACTCGTGAGGACACCTTAAACGAATTGAAAAAAAATCTTAAAAAATACAAATCATAAAATCGAGCATAGATTTATGTCTGGAAGAAAAAAATTTGGAAAATTTTTTTGCATCGTTAAAATTGATCCATGATTTAATTTTAATTTTTAATTTTGCATCATTATGATCCTTGATTCAATTTTAATGATCCAAATTCTTTTTTCTCTCAGACATAGATCTATGCTCGATTTGATGTTTGTATATTTTTTGGATTTTTTTTTCAATTTTTTAAGGTGTCCTTACGAGTTCTCACTTTAAAATAAGTCTTCACCTGATCTTCTCTCTCTCTCTTTATATATATATATATATATATATATATATATATATATATATATAGAGAGAGAGAGAGAGAGAGAGAGATGAATGATAATTTGAGAACTCATATTTTTCGAGAACCCAAGAACTAAAAGTGGAACGTTGGATAAAAAAAGGATGATCAAGATGCATTGTGGCATTTTTGCAAATACATAGACAAAATAAGACATTGGGGGGGGGGGGTATGATTTTAAAATGACTCATTGGGGCATTTTAGGAATAAAATATTTCTTTTATTCCCCCGATTAAATCTTTGATTTTTTTCCCTCTCACACACACGTCGTCTTTTTCACCAAATCACCCCTCTTCCCTCGATGGACCTCAATCACCATCGGTTTCAATCATCGAGTCTACCGATATCCCATTAAAGCACCATCGTCTCTACCACATTGATCTTAGTTATGTTCATACAGAAAACGTTAACCCAAAAATCATTTGGTTACATGATCCACCATTAATGAAATTAAGAAGGTAGTAAAGGTGCCTTTCCAGATCCAAATTAAATCAACAAAATGTGCGTTGTGCATCTATGAACTAGCCATCCGCGGATCACTTAAACGAAATGTCTAATGTGCATCTCTAAACTAACCATCGTTTAGAATACATGGTCCACTCTGACAATCATCACCACCCTATCAATTGATCGCCTTCCTCATCACCTCCTTTCTGTCTCCATCGACCGACCTTGTTTCCGATCAGATCTGTAGGAGGAGATTAACAAAACGAACTGTAGTTGCTAACAATGGAACTCATTTCAAAGTACCGATATTCGCACAATACAGGTTCTGATTTTTCATTTTATTTTGTAATTGATATCTATCGAAGCATATTCCTATGTAAATTTTCATATGATGTTATTTAGTTTAATTTAATATATTTAGATGCTTTATAAATTATATATGCTTTCTATATGTTGATTATTATAGTATGCTTTATCCAATTATAATGTCAATCCTTCTCATTGTTTCTAATAACAACATCACTCAAGTAACAATTGGTCAGCCTTCTCATTGTTTCTAATAGAAACAACACTCAAGTAATAATTGGTCAACAGAACCAAGCCAAGGTGCATCACCTAAGATAATCTAATGCTATATTTGAGTTTTTTTTTTTTTTCATTTTGGTAATAAAATCAACTACTATTCTTTTTTAGATAGTGGATAAACAGAAGAAAGAACATTATACTTTCAACTTTCAATTTAGGTTATTTGTTATTGACTTTGTGCTTTTTATGTTCTTGGTTAGTTTGTTTGTAGTTTGGTAGAAGTTGTGTTCTTTGCTTCAATTTGTGAGTTTGTAAATTTTAATGGTAGCAGTAAACAACTCTATATTTTTCACGTTAACAAATTATATGAATTTTTGTTCAGGAATATGAAAAAGTCAAAGGAACTTGATGAATAACATTTAATTATCTTTATTGTCATGGTTGGATGAAATTGAGTTCTTGGTTAAAGCCTTCCTCCTTTTTCATCAAAACCTAATTATAAACTACTTCTAGTTTTATTTTATTTATATATAACAAAGATTGATTAATGCTTTACAATGTCAATCCTTCTCACCTGTTTTACTGTTGAATTTCGTTCAACAGAACAAAATGTATTTCCATTTACATTTCGAGTAAAAACTTTCTTGTGAGAAAACGAGTTATTGTTATAGATGAAAAAGGTTAGCTAGGTTTGATGAGGTGGAAAGCAAATAAATGAATTGTAATCATAAAGATGTTACATAACGCAGGGAACGAGTTTTGAGGTTGATGAAGATATGTGTGGGGATGATAAGGATAACAAGGCTTTGCAAGAGATCATTAACAATATGAAATTTTAATATGTTTTTCGATTGTTGTTGTTTTAGTGGCGCTTTGTGGTCAAAAATAATAATAATAATAATATTATTATTATTATTATTATTATTATTATTATTATTATTATTATTATTAAAAATACAAATAAAAATACTATTTTTTGAACTTGTTAGTATTAATATTGTTACTAATACATATAAATGCATTTAAATGAAAAAAAAAATATTAATGACATTGCTTAGGAGTGGAGGTGGAGGAGATGATGATGCTTTTAACATTGAAATTGTGAATGTTATTTTTACTTTGTATATTGTCATTTCACATTTATTATTATTATTTTCAATTCAGAATATTAATACTTAACAATTTTAAAAAAGGTTGCATATTTGTAAAATTGTTTATAAATAGTTAAAGAAAGAAGGATTTCTCACTTTGTATATAAAATTGTTTAAGGTAGAAGAAATACTTTCCAAATCCAAAAAAATCCACTATAAACATCTACATAGATAACCCATATCAAAATTCAAAAATATTAATTACAATATTTTGTTTAATAAAAAGTAATAGAAATAATTCAAAAGTATTAATCAAAATTCAAAAGTATTAATCCAAAAAACATGTCCTATTACTTTTTATTAAACAAAATATTATAATTAATACTTTTAAATTTTGACATGGGCTACCTATGTAGATTTGTGTAGTAGATATGTTGGATTTGGAAAGTAATGCTTCTACCTTAAACATTTTTATATACAAAGTGAAAAAATTTCAGCCTTAAACTATTAATAAACAATTTTATAAATATGCAACTTCTTTTAAATTGTTAAGTAGTATTATTCTAGATTGAAATAATAATAAAAAAATGTGAAATGACCATATACAAATTAAAAATATACAAGCAAATATTCATGAATTTAATACTAAAAGCATCACCATCTCCTCCACTTTCACCCTTAAATAATATCATTAATATTATTTTTTTCATTTAAATACATTTATATATATATATATATATATATATATATATATATATATATATACACACATATATATATATATATATATATATATATATATACACACACTATCTTATAAAAGAAATCTCACTATTTCTAAAAATAGATTGAATATAATAATATTATTTTTTAAGACGTTCAAATCATTAAGCTAATAGTACAAGTAGTCATCAATAAAATAATATTAAATTTTAACATGTGTTTTGAATCATTATATTTCTCAACAAATTATACCTCCTTTCCTGAATTTTGAATAATTCAAAATTTTAAACCATCAGAAAATACATGTTGATTCAAATATCCCTCCTGCAGATGGCTCTTTCTTAACAGGTTTTTATTTTAATCCTTAATTGTAATTGATTTCATCATTTTTAACTTTTTGTATTTTTATCTTATAAATATATTGGGTGAATGCTTTATTATATCATGTTTGTTCCTAAAAAGGTTTTTACTATGTTTCTTTAATGTGTTGGCTTTGTAGGTTCAAAGAACTCAACCAAGAGGGCCAGTTAGAGCATTATATTATCATTAATTTGTATATTTTAGCATCTTACTTTTGCAATAAAGAACGGTTAAACACAAGATTTGACATGATTAAGCTAGTTTGTATATTTTTCATCTTGTTTAGTCTAAAAATGAAACATTTTTCATCATTGGTCCTTATAATATCAAGTTTCATCACATGAACTTCCTGATTACGGTGATTATTGTCCTTATTATAAGGTTCTATATAAATTTTGTTCAATATTTTAAGGTTTCGAAAACCTAAATCAATATGAATCTTTAAATTACATACCATCGTTGAAAATGTTTGAACATATTTTGTATTCGCCGCCCGCCGTTTTGCGCGGGTAGACGGTTATTGTGTGTGTGTGTGTGTGTGTGTGTGTGTATATATATATATATATTAGTAACAATAGTAATAATTACAAGTTCAAAAAATAATATTCTTATTTATCTTTTTAATAATAATAATAATAATAATAATAATAATTATAATGGTTATATTTGTAGAAAAATCTTAATATTTTTGTTTACAAAAAAGTCATAATATTTTTTGTTTACAAAAAAAATCTCAATATTTTGGGTTAGTTTACGAAATAGTCCCGAATTAATTTGGTACCAGTTTCAGCCGGTCAAAAGGGTTAAACTATAAATTTTTGCCGGTTTTAAGGATTTTTTTGTTCAAATTTTTTTTTGAGCTAACATGTAACTTTTCTGTGAATATTGAGATTTTTCTGAAGATTTATCTAATTAATAATTTTTTTTTTCGAATTACTATTGATGTTTATGTCCATACAATAATTATCCATATATATATGAACCCAACTCTTCTCTCTCTCTCTCTCTCTCTCTCTCTATATATATATATATATATATATATATATATATATATATATATATATATATATATAAAAGGCACTTGAAAACTAAATTATAAAAATTTGTTCCAACTGAATTGTACTTGTAACTACTTTAGCTGGTTCAAAAAAAAATAAGAGTAAATTGCAAAAATGGTCCCTGTGTTTGGCAAAATTATGCGACTTTGGTCCAAAATGATAGTTTGATGCACCACTGGTCCAAAATTGGATTTTTCCATTGTTTTTGGTCCCTCCCATTCACTTCCGTCCATATACTCCGTTACATGCAATAAAGACCGGGGTATTTTCGTCTTTCCACATACAGGGACCTTTTTTGCAACCTTATTCAAAATAAAAGCAGAGCTACATCACTCTTCCTTCTTCAACTTCACGAGCTTCATACTCTTCCTACTCTGTGTTCACAATTTCTTAGAGATCAAAAATTAAAATGGTGATGTGTTTCTGTGGTAGGGAAGCGGTGGTTCGCACCTCCTGGACATCAGCAAACCCTGGTCGGAGGTTTCTTTCCTGCCCTCAAAAGGTAAGTGTTCGATTTTGCTATTTTACCCTCATTTTGGAAAATCACCCTCATGTTTAGGGTTTATTTTTTTATGTGAAGGGTTCCAGATGCCGATTCTTAGGATGGATTGATCCTCCCATGTGTGCACGATCTATGTTGATAATACCCGGATTATTGAGGAATATCAACAATGTAAACTATCAAGTGGCAAGATTGAAGATGTGTTTGTTTGCAAGTTGGTTACTATTTGTGGTGGTTTGGGTGCTTTTCATTTAGTAATAAGCAATTAGGGACCCTTGTAGTTGCATGTAATTTTTGGGTGTTTTTTGTCTTATGAAATTGTAACTAGGGAATGTGGTAATTTTTGGTATTTGATAATGTAATATCAGTTTAGGGTTATTTTGGACAACTTCAGAAATTTGTAACCTTTTCAAGGATATAATGACAATGTATTGCAGTTATCACCGAATGTTAATGTATATTTGTTGTTTCAGAAAACAGTTCTTATAACCAAAAATGTGTTCCATAAACATGACAACTAACAGTTGGTATAAACCATAAACATCATTCTTCAACAATGACAAAAGGTTGACATTAGTTTCATGACCAAAAGGGCTAAAAGACCAAAATAAAACCATTACAACAAACTAGTTTTAAACCATTACATCCAAATGCACAAAAGTTGTGCTAAACCAAAAGATAAGTTTTTAAACAAAATACACTAATTCCTGCATTGACTGCTACCTCCATTCCCTCCTTGACTGCATCATGCATTCCCTCCTTGACTGCTTCCTGCATTCCCTCCTTCATTTCTTCCTGCATTCCCACCTTGACCCTTGCACGTCCTTGAGTTATGACCCCTATTGTTGCATTTCCCACACCTAACACTAACAAACTTTCTGGTAAGTTTTTCAGGTTCACCTGCACCATGATTTTGCATCTGTTTATCATATTTTTCATCTGCACTTCTCTTTCTCTTGGTGTTAGGTCTCCCAGGTTGATTGTGATGTGGTGGTGGTGTTAATTGAAATGGACAGGTACTTTTTGGCCACATGGCTCTACCCTTTATAGGGTCCACAGTGTAAGAGTAAGCTTCATTCCATGTTTGAAGCCAATACACTTTGTTAACATAAGTGTAAAGCTCCCCAACTTTGTCTCCACTATCAGCCATTTCATGTATTGTAGCTATGGCATGCCTGCATGGAATCCCATTCAATTCCCACCTTCTACATGTACATGACATATTTTTCATGTCAACCACATGCTGGTCATGCCAAGGACCATAAACTTCATACTTTGCAGTCCCATTCCATCTAGCTCTATATTGGACTGAAGCTTCCCTATTTCTCTCAAGTAACTTTGATGCTGTTGGAGTGAGTGGACCTGGAGCTTTGGACATCACTTTCTTCACATTGCAAATCCTCTTCATAAGGTACTGCCTGATGTACTCAAGACAACTTATGATGGGCTTATTCCTACCATGAATAAGCTTACTGTTGAAAACCTCACATAAATTGTTGAGCAATATATCTGATCCTGCTCTGCCTGTATTAAACAAGAAAATTATATGAACTAAACCATATACAATGAGCACTAGTAAAGCTTCACCTAAGTTAGGGAATGTAACCTGAAAAGTGGCTTCTGGCCCAATGGTGAGGGGGGATTTTCTTCAACCACTCAAAAGCATCCTTATCAAACTTGTTAAGTTCATTCATGTAGTGTTCAAATTCTGGTACTGTGGTTGCTATTGCACACTGCCATAAGTGATCTTTATACTCTTTTGTTTTCCATTTTTTCCTCATGTTCTCATAAATATGTCTTAGACAGAATCGATGCTCAGCCTGTGGGTATAGTTGTGCTATAGCAGGTAAGAGTCCCTGTAAAGGATTATTTCACATAATCATTGCAACAATCATATACAAATAAACTATTAGTAATACAAAAAGAAGAAAATAGTACCTTTTGTCTATCACTCATGAAAGTAAAGTTAGAATTTGAGCACAACTCTAAGTCATCTCCCAAGCATTCTAGAAACCATTTCCAGCTACTCATATTTTCAGTCTCAAACAATGG